AAAAAAAAAAAAAAAAAAAAAAAAAAAAAAAAGAGAGAGGGGGGGAAAGGGGGAAGGGAGGGAGGGGGGGGGGGGAGGGAGGGAGACTTACGAAAGATCTGGTTCTTGTCTGGAGGAGCCGAAAGAGGAAAACCTAACGAAAGCCCTGAATTCCTGCCACCCCACCGCAGCAGACCCGGGGCTTCCAAGAAGTGCCCGAGCAGGATGGGAGGGCAGGAGTCCTCTCCTGTCCATGACTCCAGCAACAGGTGCTTGGAGCACACCCCGCCTGCAACACCCCGCCTGTAACACAAAGTCATTATGGCCTCCATTGATTTGTCTAGTACCCCCTTTCACACTGTCCAAGTTGGTGGCCCTCTCGGCCTCTTGTGGGCGCTCTCCTGGCATTCCCTGGAACGGGTGGGGGCTCTGAGATAGGCTGGGCGTGGGCTCCCATTGCTCTTCCCCCTGCCGTTTCTCTCTTGGTAACGGGCGGCCCCAAGCAGGGCAGGACTCTCATGGGACAAGCGCGGCTCTCCACACAACCCCGGTGCCCCCCCGCCCCCCCGGTGGGGCGGAAGCCCTCTGGGTTCAGCTGGTTCGAACCCCTGAGGAGTGCACAGGCTCAACGGACTCATCCCCTGATTCTCACGATACACGAAGCCCTGAACAAGCTAATCAGTGAGCTGCGTTCACACAACATACGGAGACACAAAAACAAGCAAACAAAAATGATCTGGTCTTCGTAAGTTACGCCCAGGTCGCATTTTATGATTTGTTTATAATGCATTAATATGTTTATAATATTAGCGACTGCTGCTTTACTTCGGAATGCGTTGCGTGTTCGTTTTTTAAAAGTTGTAAACCACTGGCAGTGGACCTGATCATGGAGGTTGTCGTACATAATCAACGGATTAGCTGATGAAGACTTGAGCTGCGGCCGTGGGGTCTGCAGATGATCTGGCTAAGCAAGTCCTGTGGATGTGGCCGAAGAGGGGGGTGCAAAGAAGCACACCCAGAGCAGGGGAGGGGGAGCTGAGGTCGCGCAAGATCACGTCGCCGTCTTGGAACGGATGCAAATCCGTGCCATTTATTTGGTGATGACATCACGGCCCCCGGGCATCACTGTGGCTTGAACCAGCCGCCTATTCCAAAGCTCGGCTTTTCTCTGAAGCCTTTGGCACTCCGCTTCCCGCCCTTGAAGAAACCACCCAGCTCCTCCCCTGCTTAATGCTTGGTCCCCATCGCCTTTCTTGCCCTCTGCTGCCCCTGCGGATCTTCTCTTTTGCTTGCAGAGGCTGAGGCTCTCCTGCTTTTAATAAAGGGGCAGCGACTTCTGATAGATAGAGATGAGTGTGTTCTGAGAAGTCCCGGGGAGGAGGATCTTTGGGTCCGATTCGACCATCCAAAACTTCAGTTCACCCATTCCCTGCACTGCCCTGGCATGGTCTCCCTGAGGTGGTCCTTTCAGCCTGCCCTGCAGCCCAGGGTCGCTGGGCTCGTCTGGAATAAGAATGGTGACGGGGGCCTCCTGAGCAGGCTGCTGCCCTCCATACTCCGGGCCTCCTTCCTCTCTGCTCTAGTGTCCTCAGGAAGAGGTGGTGGGTGCCAGGATCCCAGCTCAGATCCGGGTCCGGCTGTGGCTGGGGCTCGCTGTGGACGAGAAGGAGTTTAACCAGACGGCAGAGGGGAGGCTGTCTGTCTTTGCTGAAGCGGTGAGCCAACTCTTGTCTTTCTCTAACGGGGTTGGGGTTGGAAGTTCCCCAGAACTGGATTGCTTGTTCTTTTGGGGGGCCCGGCCATGCTAGGAAAGAGGGAGCAGACACCCCTTTGCATCTGAACCTGAAGCGGGCAGGGGCCTTTCCATCCAGAAGCTCAAGAGGGCTTGAACAGCCCAGCGTACATCTTTCCTGGTGCTCCGGCTCTGTGGCCACTGTATTCTCTGCTGTTCACCCTTCTCTGCTTCTTGTCCTGGAGAGAGAAGCGTTCTGTCTATTGCACCCGGGCGGAATTCCACCCGGTGAAGCTTTCTTTTAGCTTGCACACCCCAACGACTTTATTGCTCGCCTCTAAGGTACCCTTGTCGGAGAGACGGCTTGCTCTTTTGCTCAATCCCCATTTCCCTTTTTCTCGCTCTTTGGGGTCTTAGTATGAGAACCAAACGAAGCTGGCGTTGGTTGGGAACTGGGGCACAACCGGTCTCACCTACCCCAAGTACTCGGACATCACTGGCAAGATGAAGCTGCCCAAGGACAGTTTCAAGCCTTCCGCTGGCTGGACGTGGGCCGGAGACTGGTTTGTCAGCCCCGAGAAGACGTGAGTAACGGCAGTGGGAGGTTCAAGACTCCGGGGTTTCTTCCCTTTCCTTGAGCTATCCTGGGTTAGGTCTTCCTAGCTCACGAGACCAGCTTCCCATCATCCCCAACCCCCGGCCAGTATCACCCCAAGGGCTGTGTTGGTGCGTAACGAAATTATGAAGGAGCCCGGTGGGAGGGCTGGGGTGCCAAAATGGGCACAGACACTGCGGATATGGAAACAAGGGGGCCAGAGGAGCTGGGGGGCTTTGCAGACCATGTGAATTTGCGGCCTGGCAGCTGGGGGAATGGGGAGGGGACTGGGGCAGAGAAGTGAGGCAGCTCACGGGCGGGGCCAGCCCTTGGCCGCTTTTACCTTCTGTAGTCCACTCTGCCTGGAAGTGGCCAGCCTTGGGGGCTTTCCTGGGCCAATCTGGAGAGGGCCGGCCCTTTGCCTGGGCCACGGGAGCCCTGCCCTGGCCTCCGAGGAGGACAGCCGGCCTCCCCAGGTCAGTGGAGTTTCCTTTTCAGGCAGAGCTGCACTCCAAGCACCTCACACATCGACTCCCCCACTCTTAAATTGGGGAAAGGTGGGAAGAGGAGTCTGGACTAGAATCTGAATTAAGGGTGGGCTTTTGTTTTTGAGTGGAGAAGATGTAAAATCCATCTGAGAACTTTCAGAAATCTGACATTTTGTGTGGCTTTAAAGCTTCATGAACAGTTGCAACTTGTCTGGCTACCCAAAGAGTTGCTATTTGCATCTTCTTCTTCTTCTTTCTCTTCTTTTTCTTCTTTTTTTTTTTTTTTTTTTTCTTTTTTTTTTTTTTTTTTTTTTTTTTTTTTTTT